TAGCTCATATATGACTTATCCTTGTATTTCCTCTTGTTGTTTTTGAGTTGTTTCAGTCATATCCAACTCTCCATGACTCCATTTGGGGTTTTCTTAGCAAAGATACTGGAGTGGTTTGCCATTTCCTTCTCCAGCTCATTTTACAGATGAGGAAACTGAGGCAAACAGGGTTAAGTGACTTGCTCAGGGTCACACGGCTAGTAAGGATGGATCTGAACTCATAAAAGTGAGTCTTCCTGGGTCCAGGCCCTGTGCTCTATTCACTGTAACACCTAGCTGCCTGTAATACTGACTCAAGGCTCTACACATTTTTAAAAGATTCAGATGTGACCTCATTGATGTAAGAAGCTTCTGTGTAAGGAAACTCTCTATATCAACTCCTCTTAGAAGTTAATTGACCTCCCCAAGGCCACACAGTCAATATGTGTCAAGAGACAGAACCTGAACCCAAATCTTCCTGCCTCTGGGGCCCTCTACGACCAGGCTAACACCCCACAAGGGGAGGAGAGGCTGACTTGAAGGGCACGGCCAAGTTAGGCACATCTGTTCATTATTATCCCCTTTGGGAAACTGAGAAGGGGGAGGAGAAAAGGAGATGACAGTGGTTATTCTTATTACCAACGATGATTATATCAGCAAACCTCAGAATATGGGGAAACTGAAAACTCAAACATTATGCCCCATGTGCCTGTTTCCCTGAGTGCTGTTTTCTTACTTTTAATGAGTAGAAAAATGAAAAGCCAACTTTGAAACAAGACAGGCATGTCGACTTCAGAGCACATGTGGAGTCCTGTGTTCGAGTTCTGGCACCACAGTCAGGGAGAATAATGACAACCAGACCTCATCCAGGATGAGGGGACACAGTTGTATCAGGATCAGTTAAGTCACTGAGCATGCACTGAGTGGGGAACAGAAGGCTGAGGGGGAAATGTCTTCAAATGTCAGAAGTGCTGCCTTGTCACAGAGATCTGATTTGTTCTACTTGGCCCTTGGGGGCAGTGTTATGTGGTGCAGTGGATAGAGTGCCAGGCATGGAACCTGGCAGACCTGAGTTCAAATCCAGCTTCAGACACTACCTAGCTGCGTAACCCTGGGCAGGTCACTTAACCCTGCTCGCCTCGGTTTCCTTGTCTGTAAAATGAGCCAGCGAAGGAAATGGCAAACCACTCCAGTATCTTTGCCAAGAAAACACCAAATGGGGTCATGAAGAGTCAGACATGACTGAACAGCTACTTGGTCCTAGGCAATAGAAATAGAAGCAATGCATGAAGGGAAATAGAGAGAGGCTGGTTTCAGATCTAACAATCAGAATTATTCAACAATTTGTATTCCACAAACATTTACTAAGCACATATTGTATGCAGACCTAGTCCTGGAAAATACAACATTTTAATAGGACATGGCCCCTGGCCCTAAAATAATGAAACAGGCTGTCTCAAGAGGTGGGATCACAGGATTTAGAGCTGGAATAGGAGCTAAGTGATAATTTAATATTTTCATCTTACAGATGAGTAGCTCAGTCAGAATTGTTCACAGCCATTAAAAATTAGCACCTGCAAATTGAGAGGATGCCCATCCACTGAGGAATGGCTAGACAAGCTGTAATGTATGATTGGGATGGAATATTATTGCACTATAAGAAATGATGACCAGGATGGTTTCAGAAAATCCTGGGAAGACTTACATAAATTGATGCAAAGTGAAGAGAGCAGCACCAGAAGAACATTCCACATAGTAAGAGCACTATTATAATGTTCAAATGTGAAAAACTTAGCGACTGTCATCAAGACAATGATCTATGACAATGACAAAGGATTCATGATGAAAAATGCTAACCACCTCCAGATAACTGATGAACTCCGAATGCAGATAGAAGCATAATTTTTTCATTTTCTTTTTTCTTGCTTTTTTTTACATGCAACATGGCTAATATGGAAATATGTTTACATGATTTCAAATGTGTAATCCATATCACATTGCTTGGGGGAGGGGCCAGAGAGAGGGAGAGAATTTGGAACTCAAAAATTTTTTAAAGCAAATGTTAAAAATAAATGATTTTTTTAAATTAGCATACACACAAATGCAGACAGATGCATGCACACACACACACAAAGATACCATGACATACACACCCTCACACACTCACAGAGATGCACATGTGCACACACATCCTTCAAACACCAGGACCCACAGGCACCCTCTGTTACTGGAGAGGCTCAAGCAGAGGCTGAATCACCTCTAGTCAGGGAGGCTATGGTAGAAATCCCTGCCTAATGGAAAAAATTAGTGGCATACTGGAAAGATCACTGGATTTTCAGTCATATGAACCGAGTTCAAATTCCAGCTCTGCCACTTAGAAATTGTGTGATTTTAGAGCAAGTCATTTTCCCTTTCTGGGCCTCAGTTTCTTCATCTTTGAAATGAGTGAGGGGTGTAGCAGGTGACCCATGAGTCCTCTTCAGCTCTTATATCTTTTAGTCCCATGAGGACTCTCCCAGTTCTGGGATTTTGTGAGGAACACCAAGACTCCTTCTTCCCCGAGACTGAAGTTGACCCACTACAGTCTCGACACCGGATGAGATTTTACTTTAAGAAGCCAAATGAGGAAGACTACCATCCTCTTTAGTCAGAGCATCCCGCTGAGCCCACAAACGGACCTTTGTGCCCACACTCATGATGACACACAGACATAAAGAGGTAACTGCTCACATAACACACACACACACACACACACACACACACTGGATCCCAATCACCTCTACAGAAGGGTACACAGACATTCAAACACAAACATACACACACACACACCTACACAGAAACTCATATTTAGAGTGGTATTTCTGAACTCACACAGAGAAAGCTCCATCACCACCACCCGTGCAGTTGTATATCCACAGAGAACCTCAGATACACACACAAACCTATACAACCTCCCCACAGAAATGATCACACACCCACAGAAATTCATCTCCACAGAGATTTGAATGTACACTCACAATCACACAGATGAACCCCACATATATACACAAAGACAGACTGATGTGCACACACATACTTTCACGCATATGTTTAAACCCCCAGATCTGCCTCTATCAGAGATGGCCACACATCCCCACATTCTCATACCCATGCACAATCTCTCAAAAGATTCCATATCCATAGAGACGTACAACCATAAAGATGAACATATATACATGAATGCCAATGAATAACACAGAGATGCACATACACTCACACAAAGAAAAAAACAATGCCAAGAAACAGATCCACATGTACACCTTCACACCCAGAGGGAGATGTGTGCACACACAACGCCTCCCCCGTGTAAATTGGCTTGGCTCTGAATAGTTTAGCTCTCCATCGATTTGACTACTTACCTCTTAATTCCCACTCAGGCTTAAAATGCAATGTGATTTTCTCAATTACTATTAAACACTGAGCACCTTAGATTCAGACATAATGCATGGTGGGCATTGTAAGAAGTGCTCTGAAGTGAGAGACAAGGAGACTAGAGTCAAAGTCAGTCAACAAGCATTTATTAATGCACACTGACTCTTGGGATGATGTCACTTCAGTGATCTAAACTCAACCACAAGGAATCTTGTGAGTTGGGGTGAAAGGGGAGGTTGCTGAGAGAAGGGATAGACCCTAGACAGCAATCTCATTTTCTTCTCACTGCCCACAATAATCCAGTCACCTCACTGAACCTCATTTTTTCTCATCTGTGAAATGGGGATAATACTCATAAATATGTCATAGGGTATTGTGAAGAAAGTGCTTTGTAAGTCTTAAAGTGCTATATATAAATGTGGGTGGTTATTAATCTTCCTAATAATAACAATAACAATAATCACACACACAAGCAGTCTCTGCTAGATTAATCTTCCTAATCAGTCACTCTTCCGCTCAAAAACCTTCAATGACTCCTGATTTTCTACTGCTGTCTACAGTGTGGCATAGCCCATGTCTCTAAAGTCCTACCCATCTCCCATACCACCTCTTCATGTTCCTGCAGGTGGCAAGAGAAAACCAACTTGGGATTAACAAGTGTATTAACGAGCAACACAACTCCCCTATAGGTAATTAAAAGCATAATACTATTGATGATATGGATGAGGCCATCTCCCAGCAGTGGTAGAAACAAAGCAGTGAAGGAGAAAGAACACTAAACAGGGATACTGATGTGGGTTTAAATACTGGCTCTATCCTTTAGTAGCTGTGTGACCCAAGGCAGGTCACTTCACTTTCTGTGCCTCAGTTTCCCTGCTCATAAAATAGGGATTATAACATTTGTCCTGCCCTCCCCCTTCAAGTTGTTGTGAAGATCAAGTATACTGATGGCTTTGTCATTTCTTAGGGATTATTATTTATTAAGAGACCAAGAGGAAAGTCTCTAGCACCCAGAGCAACTCTATTATGGAGGATTTACAGAAGACGTGTCCAAGAATGGAAGGTTCAGGATGACAGGTTCAAGAGAAGCTACAAACCTACCACAGTGGAGAGAACATCCACACTGAATAGTCACAGAGTCAGGTCATTGAGTCTAACTCCCTCATTTTACAGATGAGGAAACTGAGACCCAGAGAGGTTAAGAGACTTGCTTAGGTTCACCCAGCTAGTAAGCACCGAGACAGGATTCAAACTGAGGGTCTTCTTGACTCCAAGTCTAGAACCCTACCTTAGCATCATGGGTTTAGAGAAAGAAGGAAACTTAGAAGCCCTTAAGTCCACCCCCTTTCATTTTACAGATGAGGAAACTGAGACCCAGAGAGATTGTGTGATTTATCTGGGGCCACATGATAATAAGGGGAAGAGCTAGAATTTGAACCCAGGTCTTCTGACCCCAAATCCAGAATTTTTTTTTTAATCTTGTGATCCTGTCCCTTGGATCCATCCAAGCATCAAAGAATCTATAGTTCACTCCAATAGCCCTTACACACTCAGAGCTTTGCCACACACCCCCAAACCTGGCTCAAATCTGCATGAGTCTGCAGGCTTACCTTCCCAACGCCCGGGTTCTCCTTGGCTTTGGCCACTGATCTCAGTAGGCAGGGGGGCGCGGGTGGAGGGCTGAGCTGCAGCACACCACTAAAGTTTGTCCCGTAAATGGAAAAGTCATGTGCAGGGGTTAAGGGTGGGTGGGGCTTCTTCTTCTTGGAGGCCAGGTTGAGCTTCTGGGCTGCTCTGTAAGGAGAAATGGGGGGGCGGAGGGGAGAGAGAGAGAGAGAGAGAGATATTACGTTACATTCCATCCCATTTCTGCAATTGAAACAGGCAAAACAGATGTGTGCTGTCCCTGCTGCCTGCTTAGCAAATCAAGTCATTCCATTCTAATCAGATTTCATAAGGACACACCATCAGGAGACTAATAGAGGAAAATATGGACAGAAATATGGCTGGCAAGATAGTCTCTTAATTTCTCTCCCAGCAGAGTTTCAATTATACAGAAACTTTTTTTTTTTCTGGCCACTTGGCAGTTGAGTTGAAGGCTATGGAAATCTCACTGACATCATCAATTACTGAAATCAGTCCCTTGTCACTTGGCTGGACCAGATGGGTTTTCCTGGTACTAGTGTTTGAGAAAGTGATATCCTGGGATCTAACAAATTACTCTGCAAAAGAAGGCATTTCTTTACATTGCAAAACATCTCCAGCTGTTTTTAGCGAAATTAACTTAAAATAAACTTGGCTTCTCATTGCCCAGAAGGTAAAATGCCAAGTCCCTAGATTGGCATTCAAGGCCTTTCATTGCCTGGTACCAACCTACATTTTGAGCCCTATCTTGTTTCCTACACTTTGCATCCCAATCAAACTGAATTATTACTAACTTTTTCTTGTTCTCATCTTTCCTTCTCCTGCCCATGCCCACCACAGAGACCATATCTTATATAAACTTTCTATCTCCACGCTTTATTCATAGCATGGGCTTATTACATTTTTCTGAATGAAGGAATGAGTATTTGGGGAGAAAGCCTTTGGATGAATTCTAGACATTTGGGGCTCGAAACCCCAAAGGCAGTTCTTGCAGATTTATGCTTGACAGAAGAGGTTTGGATGGAAAGCATCACTGAAAAATTAAAGAATGAGGAATGAACACACCTGCCACTCGTACATCGAAAACTGCCCCCTCTGAGCTAATTTCCAGATGAAATTAGTTCAACTAGTGAGAATTCAGCGTGACGTTGTGGAATTCATATGAAAATCAAGAAGAAAGTGAGAGACCTCTGAGCAGAGAAAGCAAGTGGTCCCAAGTACCTGCCCTAAGCTCATGCACGCTACTCACAGGAGAGAGGGGGCCGAAGGCTTTACTCAGAGATCATTTACTTTCATTTTACCGTAATTCTTACTGAACTGGACTCCTTGGGTTCCTAGGACCACAGAAAATGAGAAACAGATGTTTAGAAAATCATAGGATTAGGAGTCCGGAGAAGCCTTATAGATTAGCTAATTCCTCAGCAGGATTTAGAGAAGCTATGATTTGCCCATGGTCACACAGGTAGTATGTAACCAATCCAGGATTCAAATCCAGTCTTCTGATTCCAAAGTCAGAGCTCTCACCATTACACCATACTGCCCATAAGAAGCAGGCACAGTAAGAGTAGTGGGGGTAGGGTCAGCCTGACACTGAAGAAAGAGACAAAAGAACTATAAATAGCAGACACAAGAATGCAAAAGGCCCAGCCATCTGGAGACATTTAGTGTCCAGGGAAACAGTCCCCCAAGCTCCAAGAGGCCCACAGGGGTATTTCTGCATTCCAGTAACTGGTGCTTCTAATAATGACTCTGATGAGCCATGCAGCAAAACATATAATGTTTGTATGTAATGATCAAAGGATCATAGAATTTAAAGCAGAAAAAAATAATCTTAGAATTGTAGAAATAAGAAACTTTGGAGATCATCTAGTACAGAGGTTATCAAATTTTTCAGGGGTGAGATACAGGAAGGGCTCACAACACAGTACCATTCTTTGCTGCAAAGAATTAAGGTATGTTGGGGGCAGCTAGGTGAACACTCACTAGCTGTGTGACTCTGGGCAAGTCACTTAATCCCAATTGCCTCACCAGACCAAAAAAAAAAAGAATTAAAGTATACAGATTATATACATTGGTAAAACAATGGGGGAGTAGCATGCTAGTTCTACAAAATTTAGGCTACACCTGGAAAAACTCACTGCTATAGAAAACTCTTTGAGAACCATGGATTGAGTCCTTACATTCATTTTACAGATGGGGAAACTGATGCCCAGAGAATTCAAGTGACTTGTTCAAGATCCTACAGGTAGAAGTTGGAAAGCCAGCTCTCAAACCCAGGTCTTCTGAATTCAAATCTAATGCTTTTCCTACCATACTACACTGTTTCGCATATGTTGTACTTTCTACTTTTCAATGTATATTCACATATATTAGCTTGTATCTTCAAAAATAACAATAAAAATAATAATATGAAAGAATAGTTACAGGATATCAACTTGTTCCATGATCATTTCTATCTGAGCCCCATCCAAAAAAAAAAATGAGAAGATTAAGTTTATGATGGATGAAGAATGGTGATGATGGAGGAGCCCATGGGATGGCAAAGATCCAAGTGTGGAACCTAAAGATCCTCCGCATGACCTCAGTCAAAGGCATATCAACAAAGTATCATAGAATATGACTGAGTCATCTGCATCTGTGGAAATGGGGAGGTTTATGATTGGCAATTCAGGAGCAAATCACTGCTACCCAAAATTATAGAAGGCTTATCCTTAAGAGTTACAGACTTAGCGGTAGATGTAGGTTATGCAAAGAAGCACCTACCACATACCTAGCAAGACACGACCCATGGGCTAGAATTACACATCAGAGACTCATAATTTTTATAGACTGACAGTCAGTAAATACTCATACTTATAAATACAGACCTCAAAATACACTCGAGAACTCAACCAATAAATCGTGTTCATGATCTCCAAGATATATGGAACAAAGAGCTTTCAAAATCTAGAGATCTAGCAGAAGATGTCAAAATCAGGTACATGAGGTACACACCATTCCTGTTTGTCTTGTCTGCTGCGGGTGTTGTACACCAAGGATGCTTTCAGTGTACTCTTACTCAACTACAAAAGGTAGTTACTTTATCCCCTCGTGTAATGATCAGTAGAATATTAAATATGAAAGAAGAATAATAGGTTAGAGACCTATCTTAGGACCATTTCTATCTGAATGCTGTTAATGAATGAATGAAGAGATAGATGATGATTATGATGGAGGAGGAGGAATAGAAAAAGAAAGGAAAAAAGAAGGAAGAGAAACAGTGTAATCAATAGAGAATGGCCTCAGAGTCAGGAAGACCTCAGTTCCAGTCTCACCTCCCACAGATCCTGGCTGTGTGACCCAAAGCAGATCTCAGGGCCCAGAGCAACCCTCTAGGGACCAAGAGCTGCAGATCTGGATTGGCAGATGATGTTCATAGCCCTCATTTGGAGTTTTCTTGGAAAAGTGGTTTGCCATTTCCTTCTCCAGGAATGGAGAAGCAAATGGGGTTAAGTGACTTGCCCAGGGTCACACAGCTAGTGCCTTAGGTCAGATTTGAACTCACAAAAATGAAGTCTCTCTGACTTCAGGCCCAGAGCTTTATCCACTGCATCACGTAGCTGCCCTGATCTACATTGGTAGAAACGGTTTACTCACCCACTTGCCCTTGCAAATGAAACCATGGTCTGCGCAAAATTATCATTGCTGTTGTTGTTGATATATTATCATGCAAATCTTAAGATGCTATATAAAAGTGAAAAGTATTTTTATGTAGTCTCATCTGATTAAATAAGATCAAGCAAATTTATAGGGTAGAAGGAGATAGCATTATCCACATTTGACCAGCAGGAATGTCTGATTTGTTTTAGAAAGATTCCCATTCTAGGTGGTTAAAAAAAACTTTTTGAGCTCTAGTGCATAAAAGGGATGATCCACAAACTTGGGTCTCCATTAAGATTCACCTCCCAATAAGCTCAATTAGGTGAGGACTAAGTCTTGCAGCTAAATGTTACATCTCCCCTCCTGAGTCTCAGTTTCCTCATCTGTTAAAAGGAATGCATTGAACCAGATGACTTCTGAGGTCTCAGCCAACTCTTGATCTACAATCCTAGGAGCGCTATCCTCGACAACACACAACCTCTCTTTAAAGGAGTATATAATTGTGGGCCATTATTCAATTTCCACATTCTAAAGCTCTTTCCAGGTCTGGAATTCTATGCTGTGATCCTACATTCTCAAGTCTCTTCTAGCTCTGACACTCCACGTTCTATGTTCTATGTTCTAAAGTCCCTTCTAGCTCCAACATTCTCTGTTCTATGGTCTAAGGTCCCTTCCAGCTCTCATGATCTAGGGCTCATTATCTATTGGGGGTCAGAAAAGAACAAAGTTTTCAACCACTCTACACAGTGTCAATGTTTAATAATCAGGTATCAAAGTGAAATGAATTTCAAAAGGAGAGGAAGGAAACAAACATTATTTATTTGTTTGCTTTTTAAATTTTTTGGTGAGGCAATTGGGGTTAAGTGACTTGCCTGTGGTCATACAGCTAGGGTCAAGTGTCTGAGGCCAGATTTGAACTCAGGTCCTCCTAACTCCAGGGCTGATGCTCTATCCACTGTGCCACAAACATTATTTATTAAGCACCTGCCCCACAAACATTATTTATTAAGCATCTACTATGTGTTAAGTGCTTTATAAACATTATCTTATTTGATCCTCCCAACAACCCTGTGAGGTAGGTGCCATTATTATCCCCATTTTACAGTTGAGGAAACAGAGGCAGGCAAAGTTCAAATGAATTGCCCAGGGTAATACAGCTAGTAAATATCTAAGGTCAGATTTGAACTCAGGTCTTCCTGACTCCAGGCTCAGCCCTTTATCCACTGTGCTACCCAAAGACAAACTATTATTGATTTATCTTAGAAGAACAGTGCGTTGTGAGAGGCACTGCAGCATAGCAGCAAGACTTATCTGATTAAATAAGATCAACAATAAGAAGGAAAATTAGGTTTGAATATCAGTTCCAACACTTGCTAGCCATGTGACCCTAGCGAAATCATTTCCCTTCACTGAACCTGTTTCTTCAACTAAAAGGGAGTGTAATAATAACTCCCATCACTTTCTTCATTGGGTTGTTTTTAGGCTGATTTCCAGATACGCTGATTTCCAGC